TCGCAGGGAGGTGTGGTCGGACTTCTCCCCCCCAACAATAAACAGTACTCGCATGAATAATATTGGCATATGGAACTATATGAAGAGCCGCAGGTGTCTCGCGAGCCGCAGTTGTCTCGCGTTGCCGATCCCTGGGCTAGAATACAACATAAAGTTGCGAGAGGATTATATTCATGTACCAAAATAAGCATCTCTTTCTTTTAATTATGAATTAGAACAATGCAATAATTTTGTCACTCTAGTAAAAAAAATACTAGCTGTAATAAAGGAGTGAGCCACAGCTTAGTCTAATGCATATTTGAAGAAAGAGGCGCCTATACAAAAGTGCATGAATATCAATGTTGTATTTTAGCCTAAACTACTTTACTTAGGGTCTTTCTCATAATAGCAATGTGTACTTATCTTTTAAAAATCACAAATATTTCTCACATTGAGTTTTCTTTTTACTGGAAATCAGCTCAATCAAAATATTCAGCACAGATACCGGATCCAACTCGATAATTAGTCGAGGTCAATACCCAACATTTGTATATAACTATGATGCTAATCTGTTATTTATTTATTTTGTCTTACCGGGAGAATCCTGTATGGCACGTGTGCCCAATAAAGGCTATTGTTGTTGTTGAGTTTTCTTTTTTATTTATCTTTAATGGCGACACTTAGCTTCAGAGCGAATTTATATTTTGATTTTGTATAATTTATAAACATGAAAAACGTTGTTCCCTATGCTCTTTAATGGTTCATTTTCTGCTTTACAACACTTGGCCACCGACTAATCAGCAGTAGAAGGTGTAACTTACCGTTAGCTTCGGACATCATATAAACTACATAAGAATAGATTAAGTCATATATATTGCAATGATATACATAAATTTCGGCAGACCAGCACTCATGTTCATTAGCAAGATGATTCTCTTTGACCATAAACTCTAGTTTCATCTTAAAAACAAATATTTTCTTTTATTGCCGAAGTACTATTGCACATCTCACTGAATAAATTATATTATGTATAAAATAAACGCATTGGTGACCAGGGTTTTCCCCAAGTTTATATAGAGTAAACACCTTTTTTTTTTTTTCAAAATCAAATTGGCTAATTGACCCTTTAAAATTTTCATTATTTAAAAGTTCGATTGTGTGTGCGCCATATTTTAATAAAATTTGTAACATTTATTTTTGGCAATGTATTATTTTTACATAAATCATGAAATATTATCTAGACAGACCTTAATGCAATGATAAAAGTTTTTGAATGAGAGGTCTTGGCCCATCAGTGGTGAACCCTCTCAGCGGTTTCGCCAAATTAATCTCCAGACCGCTCTACTATTGTATTGTATTGGTTTTGTTATATATCCTGAATTTACTATAGGTTCCCAAAACACCCCTAAGCTGCCGTCCTTAGTAAATGCAGGGTATATAAGAAAAACAATCCAATACAATATTAGAGCGGTCTGGATATTAATTTGGAGAAACCCGCTGAGAGGGCTTACCACTGATGAGCCAAGCCCTCATGTTCAATAACTTTTATGATTACAGTAAAGTCTGTAGAGATAATATTTTAACCATTTGTGTAAAAAGAAACACATTTTAAAAAATAATTGTTATATAATTATCATAATAATAAATATTGCCAAGTGGAAAATTAGGGAAGACAAAAACTTCAGGAGGAGACAACAATTTTATTTCTGGCAAGGACAAACTATGAATGGTAAACAAAAGATAAGCCACGAGGTAAATTTACAGAGTAGCAAAATATAAACATAAAAATGACCACTCTGTTAATAAAAATAATAAAATTAATAAATACGTTGTTACAATATTATTATTATCTGTGATAGGGGTTTTCACCCACGTTTACAACCAACCGGACAGGATTTTACTTTTATATCTATAGATAGAGGAATGCTCATTATAGGAACTCCTCTAGAACAGAATTTTTACCTAACACAATGATTTTTATCATCATCGTTTATTTTTTATCATTATAATCTTATTTTTAAGACACGCGTGTTTAACGTAATTATAAAATTATATATTTAAAACATTCAACTCTACTTTTGGAAATAAATAATAAATTCATATAAATATCATATAAAATAGAAAACTAATAAATATTTATACTCAACATTTTATCATATAAAGTATATTTTAAATAAAAGAATGAGTCCCCATTATGTACGCAAGAGAGAAATATCCTATTTTATTATCAAATAGCAAAAGATAAAGTAGCTAGAATCACAATTAATATATATTTTTAGCCAAGTCATCTCTCAGAAAATAATTTAAAATTGATAGAACAATAAATAAACGAAAATCAATCTCAACTATACGCGGAAATTAAAATTTAAAGTGGAGTAAACAAGATAATTTCATTTTGAAATAAAAATTTAATCTCAATTTTCTCTCAACAGAAATATATATAAAAAAAAGTACATTCGAATTCCCACTATTAATACAGAACATGAAATTCACCCCCATAAAAAACAAATTTAAAATAAAAAAAAGGCCAACGTTTATTGCATAAATGCATTGTAATAATTCGAGATTAGAATTTTACACAAATAGGAATTACAATTTTTTAATATAAATTCAACTTAAGCTCTCAATTTCTGATAAAAAAAAAACGAAAACTACTTGCGTAAAGATTTTAAAAAATGAACAGTTTTCTCTCGACGAGAAAGAAAAAAGAAGTTTAAAAAAAAACGAATTTGAAACAAGCAACGAAAGAAAAAAAAAAATCTCAGAAAAGGGGATGAATATTTTTTATGAATAATTTACCATGACAAATGAACCTTCTTCATCCCAAGTGCCCAACGTTTGATAAATGTGTGCCCATGTAAAAGTGCCTCAGGGAAAAAAGAGAAAAATATCTATTAATCAAATTGTCTTCATATAACTTGGCCTATATGCCGATATTTTCTGTCGGGGTCTTCCCATATCGCATTCCTGGCGATTTTTGGGTTATTTTGCCATTTGTCATTCCAAGCGTTGAGAGGCCAGCTTAAAGTGCCTCTAGATGGTGTTTGTCCTTCCATTTATTATTGCTTCGATGACAAACGGCTTCATGATAAAATCATGATAGAACTTTCTCTATTATTTTTCTCTCTCTCATAGAATTAATATTATTGATTTATGTGTATTCTATTTCATTAATAATTCTCCATAAATGTATAGATATTTTTAATTCCTTATTTTTAAATTTATTGTCCCATGGGTAAGATTATACAGGTCATGAGGGTTGAAATCAATAATTTTTTTCTACTATAGTTTTGGAGTTATAGAAAGTTTATATAAATTTATCTTTAAAACTTTTATAAACGATTAAATTTTGAAAAATACACTTTTTTTATTTTAATAAGTACATTTTTTTATTTTGATAACAAAAATGTTGTACATGTGCACATCGTGGTCAGGAGATGCCTTCTTTATTTTTAATATATATATAAATATATGTAGAATTAAATATAATGTATATGAAAAGTAATTGTAAATTAATGATGTTTAAGCAAATTATTAAATATTATTATTAGGGTATCAAAAAGGTTTTAATTCTTCATGTAACAATATAGGGCTATAACAAGTTCACGCTTTTTACATCGGACTTTACTCGTCATTGAAGCAGAACATAGGAAAAAAAAGGAAGAATTGAAGGTATTAGAGTAGGAAAAATATATAAAGAGTTGGTACGTTTGCAACATTTTACACTTTAATAACATTTTGAATTGATAATTTTCGATTTTATTTGAAATGTTTACAATTTTGATATGCAGGTAGTTTTAGCGATCTATGGATACGCCCCAGGAGCTTGAGTGTACTATGCGGGTTACTCTAGATATGTTTTACTAATTTAAAATGTAGATTTGTCTTTTTTTATACATTTTTATATCTGTTTCAATCATGCAATAT